AACTCATAAGATCCCCCCCAACATTAAAATAGCCATACACCCCACACCAACAGACAATCACAATAAACATCAAATAATCATAATAACAAGATAAATGCAAATGAATGAAACAAAGACCTAACATATCAAGCCAAAACAAGGTCAAAGTCAATGAGATGTAGGTAGGGCTGACGGGGGAGGTGGGACTCGCCCCCTTCTGGCTGTACAGAACCTGGAATCAGCAGAGGTCTCCCGACAATCCCTCGCTGGATGTGAGGAACTGCCACACGTGGCACAGGTATGAAAGCAAACACACCGACCTGGCGGAAAGGCACACCTACCCTCATTCCAGGTGAGACAAACCTGAGAGGACCTCAAAACCCTGGCTGGGACTCCCTGCTGAGCTAATGGCTGAAGGGCCATCAAAGCACACTCAGCAGATAATGGTCACAGCCCTGACACACCCGGCAAAAAGTACCACTCCCTGCACGTTGGTGGTAAAAGCCACCAAGCTAGGATGCAAGGTACCCTATGACAAAGAGTGATCCAGGGCCGCCTGCTGCCGAAAAAGCCGGTCATAATCCAACCAGCCCCGACCCCCATGACAAAGTGATTCCCGAACTCGAGACCTAGCATACACAAGGCAATCCCGAATAAACTGGTCCTGGACTAACACAGCCAGATAGGTCAAAAAACAATAAATCCATGAGGGAAGAGTGGATACCTCTCGGAGGCAAGGGTGAGCTGATGATGGCAGAACCATGGGAAAGTAGCCAGCCGACAACTCAAAATGCTGTGTGAGCGCAATGTTATCACCTAGAAGCTCCTTCATCTCAACGAATTGGCCACTTTGGATTTTCTAGACTAGCCTTGCCGGGATAGGCTCAGCTGATAGAGACAAGGAGAGACCAGGGGCAGCGGGAGGCCCTGGCACATCAAATGCCTGGGAGGGCAGCACAACAGGAGTAGGCTTGGAAGACGTACCAGGGTGAGCAGGGTCAGATGACAGGGGCATCCCCGACACTGGAACAGGGGCCATTGACTGAAGAGGAAGTGTTGTTGTTGGCTGCAGCAGAGACGCCGAAAGAAGAGGTACTGCTGCCAAGGAAGCTGCGGAAGGCAGAATACTCAACTGAGTGGGGAGTCCTGCAAGGAAACAAGGAGCTGTGGACACGCTGAAAAACCAAAAGAAAAGAAAATCCAGGCAGCAGTGCACGCCATACACAAAACTGACATACCACCCAGCCAACATA